CAGCCTAGAAAAAAGTATTCCTATTCCAATTAGCCTTCATAGATTTTAGTAGCAGGAAGGTCATTCCTGCAGCCTAGATTAGGTTTCACATACTTGTCATGTTTAGACAGCAAGGTTTAAGTTATTACGGAGATGGGCAGTAGTATAAATCTTCTGGCAGTAACCTATTCTGGTGTATACCATATATACTATATACATTTGCATTGCAATAACTCCTTTATTAACATCTGAGAAAATGAAAATTAAATCAGCATGTTATCTGTTTAAAAAAAAGAGTAAGATTACTTCCTTCAAGGGTCTTTCATCACTTTTTTAGTAGTTTGAGATACAACGCAAGATGTGGATACTGTGTGTGGGGAAACAAAGAATATTTTGTCTCTTACTTGAATATCCTTGGCTTTGATAACTGCAAAACTGAACAGGAGCTTTGGAGCTGTATTGTTTGATGATATTTCCATAACATTTGTGGCTGTCCAACTTTTTTGTGAAATGAAAGTCAGGAAATCTGACTGAATGCATTGTTAACTTTCAAGAGCCTACATTTTACTTCTGCAAAAGCCCTGCGACATTTCAATCTTTAAGTATCCTTGTCATTAAACTGGGGCAGAAAGAGAAGGAACAGGAAAGGAACATAAAGGGTGACTGAGATTTAAAATTTCCCTGGAGAAGATGAGCAAGGTACTCTTTGGCCTGCCAGAAGCTGAAATCAGAAGAATGACTGTTTTTAACATGTTGAGTATGATTTAATTCCATCATCATCGTCGTCGTCCAGATGGAAAACATGCTGACAGGCTTTGAGTTACCACTGACAGGATCAAAGGGCACTGAGATTACAGTGTGGTTAGCTGGCACAACAAGAGCACTTTTAATAACTAGACATGTTACTAGTTTAGTGCATTAATTTGTGTGAAGAATTAGTATTGGCATTAATAATGATATTTTAATTTATTTTTTTTATGTCTGGTTTTCTGCTAGAGTGCTGTTTTTAGTATTGTATGTTAGGATTGCTCTTTTTATTACTATATTTTAGGGTCACATTCTGTCGTGTAACCATCCAGATGGGTGGAACTACAGGCAGAATTATTTGGCTTTTAATGCATAAATGAAAGACTTCCAGAAAAAATACTGAGCTCATGATATGATTCTCAATTATTAAGTACTGAGGAAAAGAAGAAAATAATATGTTAAAAATCAGTGTAGCCTTAGTGCTTTTGTATTTTTCTTAAGAAGGTTTTTTTGTTTTCTCATGGTATTTCGGATGTTCTTGTGGTTATATTGTGGTCTTCTTTTTCAGCTGCCCTAATATCCAGCTCCCTTATATTTTCCTCATTCTATAGATGCTCCAGGGAATATTCTGTTTCACAGCAATGCATGTGCCTCCCTGGCTGTACTGTGAAAAAAATGCATTATGATTTCTTTTGAAAAGTCCATGCATTTAAACATGTAATGAGGTCGAGGTGTTCTTTACAGATACTTTTATAGTGTCGTGTCCATGACCTGATATTTCCTAGAAGAGCGAAGCAGACAGTTAACCATTTATTAGCTCTGCACGTGTATGCAGCAAGAGATTACAATCAGTCACCACATTATTAAAACAGTCTCAACTGATCATTCAAGCCTTTTATTTGTACATAAAAATAAGACTGGAACATTTGTAGCTATCCTTCCCTAGACATCCTCCTCAGGTCTTCTGGCAGCCAGCAGTGCTCTGGGTTTTGACCCTTGGCTTAGGGCTGTAATATTTCTGGCCAGTTTATTTCACCTTTTCTTATGGTGCTATTTAAAAGCTGGTTCAACCATTTTGCCACCATTGTTAGTTTGCTGAACTAATCCTTTAATCCTATTCATAGTTTCTGTTAGAGGGTGAGGTCCTCATAATCCCTTTGGGAATTTTTTTTCCCTTTTATGATCTTGGCTGGTGTTCAGCCATTTATGAGTGGTTGCTAGCCATATATACGTAGTGAATTTTTAGCTAAATACAAAGGGAGTAATTGAAGGACTTTTGACTTCGAATTTGACTTTTCTGTCAGTATGAGCTCAGCGAGTCATGCTGCATGGCTTTTTTGTGACTGGTCCCTCAAACTGCACAGTTACATCTCCAGTAGTGGGAGGGTAAGTATAATTTTAATGAGGGCTTGGAAATTTCTTCACAGATAGAAAGCAAAATATCAGAACTAGAGGATTTTAGGAGATGCCATTTTTACATGTCGTATTACTACTTTGTTGGCAGTAGATCCAGTTTAAGTAAAAGTTCCCAGCTTCTTAGAACATATATGATTTTCTCTAACAGTGGCTGAATTAAGAATCTGAAGCTTTGCCTCCCTGCCAGGCAAGCTAGGAGATCCTGATTAGTGTAATTTACTGCCAAGAGGGAGGAAGCGGAGCTGACAGGAGCTCTCCGAACAGAACTGCTGGCCACCAGGACATGGGCTGATGGTCTCTCTAAATACAGTCTTTTTTTTCTTTCAAGGAAATGCATTCTGAAATTTCAAGCTTCACTCTTTTTCCTTTTTCTAGCATGCAGGCCATTGGCAGTGTTATATTTATTTTGCGATTTTGTTGTCTTGGCAGAGAATTCAAAAGTGTTTGCATGCCTCAGTGGACCAATGATAGACTAATGATGTGTAGCAACAGTAAATGTTTTTTTCTGCACTGCAATCATGTTTCATAGGTGCCATGCTGGAAAATGAGATCACTGTTTGCATCTACTCCTGTGGTTCAGTTGTGGATATGCTATTCCCAAGGGAGGCAGCTCATACATAGAGTGGAAAGAGCCCAGGGACAGCCTGGCAGTTTTAGCATCACCATTTTTCCCATTGAAGTTGTTCTTTTGCCTGGAAATGTATCTTGAGCCATAACTGTGATTGTGGATTGCACATACTTTGAGTGCCTGGCTGTGCTCCAAGCTGTGGACAGCTCATCTTCAGATGATCTGATAAAATGGTGTTGCAACGGTGCTGCACAAGTCTTGCACTTTTCAACAACTAGGGGTCTAGAGATGCTGTGTTCAGCACAGAAACCTGAAGTCCTTCAACTGAATACACTCTGAAATCGGTCTGATCTTTCTGGGTAGCACTATAGGAGGAAAAGCACCAAAAAAAGGTCAAACAAACAAACAAACAGAAAAAGACCAGAAAATTTATTTTGCCAAAAGCTATACACGTGCAGAAAAACTTTGTACATATGCCTGGCACAGTGCATTCCCTGCCTGCAAAACTTATTAGAATGAACAGCTGGTTAATGGAGATGTGTTTTTTCAAACTAAGCTTTAATGCCAATTAAAACCAGCACTGGCTTATTAAGAACAAAACTGCTACTTTTTCTAGAAAATTTTTGTCGTTCTATGGCAATCAAGAGAAAAGACAGAAAATATATAAAGCTGGCAGGTTATGAAAATTAAACAATGAAACATACTTTTCTAAAACTCTGAAGAATTATAGTCTCAAAACTATCTTAAGTACTTGATTTTTGACCTACCATTTTCTAATAGCTCTCTCAATTTTCTTAGAGTGGTTTTGCTTTTAAAAATATCTGAAAACTTGGTAGATATTAACATAGCCATGTAAAAAAGTTCCTCCTTAGAACACAAAAATCTTGAATGATACATTATGTTCCACTAATCAATTTTTTTTTCCATTTCAGATAATGGCTTATGAGATTTTTAATTTGAAAACTTAGGACAATTTGAGCAAAAGAAACCCCCCCCCCAAAACTTGGAACCATCGAGGTACATTGCTTCTGGCATAGAAAAGAGTGTAAAATACTGATACATTACAAATGATTTCACACTAAAGTCTGCACTGACTCTCCAAGAGGAGCAATTGTTTCAATTCCCTTATCTGGGCTGAGATCCCTGGGTACCAGACAAACAATCTGACCAAGGCATTGAGGCTGAATTTTTCACATGTGGGGAAAGGCTTCAACTTTTCCATTCCTATCTCGTAGATCAAAAGAACTAGTTGAGCACCTCTCCATGCAAATTTTTTGAGTTGTTGAGTTGTAGTATTGTGAAACTACCCCAGAGTGTACCACAATGAAATTTCCCATTTCGGTTTTTTTGTTTTTTTTTTTAAGACAGAAAGAATTAATGTTCTTTCAATCTGAGTGCTCTGTGAGAAAACATGTATGTATGACACAGAGGAGACCTGAAGGTCTCTGTTGTCTTCAGATAATGCTGGGGGGATATCAGGTACAGTTGCATGAATTTTGTTGTTAACTATCTAATCTTGTGGAAATATTAATTCAACCGGATTAAACATCTGATTGACTTTATCAGTCACGTGACATTCCAGGTTAGCCTTATGTTATAACTGCAGAAAGTCTACCATGGAAGGTGACGCATGGATTAAGGATGGGAATGTGTTCTGTTCATCTCTCAGGCTTAATCCTCAACCTTAAATGTGTACCACATGATAATATTGCATGGCATGTGACATCTCCATTGGAATCCTGCTGAGGATGTAGCAAAGTGAGTATCCCACAATGTTACCCAGGAATAACAGTCACAGGGTCACTTTGGGTTATATTCTTCCATGTTTGTGTTTGAGGTCACAGAAATAATTGGAAAGCTTAGCTGCAGAGTATGGAGCATCCTCTGTAAGCATAGAATACAGATCTAAGCACTGTCTATAGAAACACCTAGATACCAGGGGTGTGTGTGTGTGTAAGAATAACTGCTTAATTATAGAACAATAACAAACACATCTGCAGGGAAACACAGAATTCACTGCAGAGAAGTGTCACTGTGATATAATCTACATACGTTAATTGCTAGATAATATTTTATATTATGCAAATAACTAAACAAAATATGAACACGCTGTTGCCTTTTAACGAGGAGTTAAAGGCCTATGACACCTCATAGGAAATTCTGACAAACACTATTTAGAAGTGATTATGCCTCTATGCTATATTTTTTCAAATAGTTTCTATTTTTAGGAAAATTTCAAAGGAACTGCGGTCTTTGTTCTCTGATGTCTAGTTTTCAGAAGCCTGCATATAGCTTTCTGTGTGGCCAATCCAAAGTGAGCAAGAGCTATGATTATTCAGGTAAACTGTTATATATGTTGATTTTCAAAACTTTTAGTGATAAGCTGTTTGATTTTCTGCATTTTCCTTTTTCTTTTCATTTTTTTCCTCTGGTACATTAATCTTCTCCACTATACTTATGCTATAGCCCAACCACAGCCATTATATGTTCTAACAGACATAGCTCCTCTGGCAGTAGGCAACATTTCCACCAGTTTAATCTTCTGGATGCTTCTCAGATCTCACTAGAACAACATACGGAAATCATACTACAACTAGCTATATTTTTTTGATACAAATTTCTAAAGAGAATGTGTTCTGTTTGAAACTTGAGACGAGGGGAGATAAGGAAAACAGAATATAATACAATATAGGGAAAGACACTTATCAAAAAACCTTATGATCTGGCTTCTAAGCTTCCCTGTTCTAATTCAGCAACTAGGTTTTTTACATACAGCAAATCCTTTTACTGGATATTTCTTGTTCTTTAATGACTTCACTACAGGGTTGCATGGGTTGATAGGAATGCATTCTCCAAAAATCCATTAACATGGTTCTTGACTGAACGTGGTCCAGGCATGTTAATCACCATTATTCTTCAAGAATGTCAGATGATTTAAGTTTACTATATGTGAATTTCATGTCTAAGAATTGGTGGGTTCCTTATTTATACGCAGGACTGGGTACCTTGCTGGAAATTATGGTACAATGTTAGTTTAAAAATATGCTATAGAAAATGTGATAAAGAAATCTCTTTAATGTTGGCAAAGACTTATATACAGAAATTAAAATTATAGTGTCATCTGTGCCTTTCTTCTCTAAATGATAGTACAATTCAAAGAAACATCCACTTTTTTCTGTTATATGTCTTCTTTGACTCCAACACATGCATATTAAAGAGAAACTTCACATTTTTTGATGTGATTGCATCAGAAGAAAAGATATAGTATGATTGATGCCAGTGGGGTTTGACAAATAGCAACTGTACAGAAATTATACAAAAATTTCCTTCCATATTTCCTCTCAACTGTTCTGCCACTTTGATGAAATGGTAATCTCTCTAATCCATTTTTCCAGCTAGAAAAGTGTTTGAGAAACATACCCTTCCCTGCAGTTATTACCATGATGGAACATTTATTATCCAGCAAATGAGGCATCACATTCTCTGATATTTCTCCTAAAAAATCTTAGCAATAACTGCCCTTTATTGTGCATATCAATGATCAATTAAAATATAAAAAAAAGTATTGTATATTCTGAACAGGACAAAATGCAAACTGTTTCACTGATCAATACCCAGTGCAGAAATATGTGAAATCTTGTGTGGACAAATTTCTTTCCTGTGCTGGGGGATGATTTGACATACCACTCACGCCCTAAACTGTCAAGGCTGTGGGCTGGAGTCATGAAATATTGTTTTCACATACATGAGCCCTGGTAAATTTTGCCTTGAAAAACATGTCTGTAAGGATTGTGGCTTTTGGGCCTGTGTGTTCCCAGGCTGTTATAGAAGAGTGAGAAACACAGCTATAAAAAATGTGTTACAAAAAACAATAAACAAACAAACTCAACCAAAAATTAAACAATATAAACAAAAAATCCACCCACAAACATCCCCACCCAAAACCAAAACAAAAGCCCAAACAAAAAACATACTCAAACAAGATACTACAAAAATCGTCAGTAGACTTTGTACAAAATCAGTCTCTGTTACTTATTTGCTTTATTTCAAAAAAAGGTAGATTTCAAAGGCTAAATCCACATGGGAACTCCAAACCCCACCACACTAATTTAATAATAATACTTTTTGTTTAGTCACTTATATTTTTGTTTAGTCAGCTTAAAACTAAAGGTATTAATGATAGTTTTTTTCTATGTATGAACACAGTGTTTTTTATAAAATGGCCTAAGAGTAAGATCAGAAAATATTTGCTGAGTGACATGGGTTGTTTGCCTGTCTTTAATCTCATTTTATTTTGTGTGTGTGTATCAGCTACATGCAAATGCAATCAAGTGTAAAACAGGTACTGTTTTGATAACTTGGACCAATTTTTTTATTGGTTTCCTGAGAATATTATGTTCTCATATCCATATTGTTTCTGCCCTCTGCAAGTACCTTCAGAAATGTTTTTTGGCACTGTGTAGCTAAAAAAACCTCACTGTGAATTATTGTTCTGTTCAAGAGAAATTTTCAAACATGGTTGAATATTATCTTGAAAATACAATTTTTGAAAAGTAATGATAAAAGTCTTTGTTGTGGATTCTCTTCCTTCCTAAGTCTGATTTTTTAAAATAAATTTCAACTATACAGACCAATACAAAACCATAATTACATAATGAGAAAATTTAAGTTATTTATTTTTTTAACGTTTGCTGCTTCTCTTTCTTTCTTTAAGCTCAAAAAAGCCAGCAATTTCTTTGCTTTTTTCTTAGCTAAGTCAGCAGGTTACACGATGTTATTTGTATTTTGCGCACTTGCAGATTAATGTTTGAACACTGTTGCACCACCTCTTCAACCACGAGGTTAGGAACCAACTTGCATTTCATACTTGCAAATATGTAATGTTTTTACAGAATAAATCAGGGATGGAAGCAAGACCTGTTCCTGAAGAAATGTTTTATTCAACAAAACTTGCCCAACTTGAGCATTTTCCAGGTAAAGAATTTTTTTTTTTTTTTTCAAAATGTTACCTGTTTGTGGAGTAAGTGACCTAAGAAAAGCCTGCTGAGTCAAAAGTGCATTATCCCAGTGTCATTTGTGAGAAGGGAACAAAACCGAAAATAGTAGTCAGGTTGAAATCAAGCTTACCTGATAATGCCAAAAATTACATTTTACAGGAATATTTTTTATGGCAACCCCTCCGCCCCACTCCCCCAATGATCTCAAATCCAAATAGTTACCATAGTAACTCATGTTATGGTATATTATTTATGGACATATTGCAACATAGAGAGTATTCATAATGTGTTGCTTTTTTCAGACCGTATGTTTCTGGTTGTTCACGTAACATTTGCACAGCTGAGTGAAAATGCCAGCTCTTTTCATTTGTAGCAAGCTGACATTTCTCTATACTCTCAAAAAAGTGCAGAACAATGTATTTTTGAGATCACTGAACAAAAATCATAGTTTGTTTTTATTGTATTCAGATAATCAGAATAATACAGCAAAATAGTGCTGCTTTCTTTTTTTTCTCACTCCCCCATGTTTTAGGGGGTGAGGGGCAGGGGGATTACACTGCAGCCACAAGTAGTATATTCAAGACCTGCTGTTAGAAGGGAGTGGTGCTTCATAAGGAAACCCCAATTGAAACAAATGCAAAGAACACAAAAGTATCACATGACTGGCTCTACCATAGTTTTCCATATATGATTTTTAGTAGTGTCACTTATGATGTGAACATGTAGATTAGTCTGTAAAAGGCAGATTAATTTTTTAGCCTGTGTTTATGAATTATCAAACTAATTTTAATCTTCAAGGATTATCTTCAGACATGTATTTACTGCAATAAGTACCTATGCATTTGGTAGAAGTAACTTTCTATGCTTTCTGCTCACATTTTGAGGCACAAAGAGCAGCTGGATACTTCACTGTTAAGGAATATTAATGAAACTGGGTCACCTGGCTTTGCCAATCCCAGCCAGAGGATTGTGGTAGGTGCTCTGTTTCTCTCTGCTCTCTTCTTTTCTATACAAATACTGTCTTAAAAAAATTAAGATAGATCATGATATAACTGTATGCGGAAGAGTGCTATTGAATCGAAGGGAACAGTCTGGGAATCTGCACATCCAGGTCATTCTGAAATGTTCTGTCTGTGAAGCTGATCTCATATGTGCACCAAATTGAATATTTGCATATAAATATTTAGTCACCTGAGGTGATTAATTTTACTTAACACTAATTTCTGTCATACAAAACAAGTTTTTCAAATGTGGTATTCCTCCAGCAAGTGCACTACTTCACAGACAGGAGCTTAGCTATCAGTTGATATTCCCTTTTCTGTTTGTCATTTTTGTTGTTTGGCACCTGTAACTATTTTGAACTCAATTTATGTCACTTACACATGAAGTGTGTGGCACCTAAATGCCATAAATCATGCATATGTATCATTGCTGGTGCAAATTTGCATCTGTAATTATCTGTACTTAAAAACTGTTGTTTTTATGAGGCCTTGCTGGAGACTGGCTGAAGAACATGACACACTTCACCCATCCTCTACATCCAAATTACATTCTGTCCCATAATTTTTCTATTTGAAAGGTTATTAAAATGCTTTAAAAGAAAAATTAGGTAAAAATTGACATGGATGAAAGACAAATATTGTGTTTGCAAAGAGCATTTGTCAGCTTGCCTCTGCACTGCATTTTACTTCAGTTGTGAATGGACTTTTATGAAAATATATAAATATTTTATTGAAAACAGTCCTGTATCATTTACTACCCTGACCATGCAATTAGCCCGCTAATGGACAAAAAATGGGTGTTTCCCCATAGAGATTTTATTTCCACCATCATTTACCTGGATCCTTCTACATTCTGTTGATAAATATTCTTATAATTCCTCAGTTTTTCATTGGGGAAAAAAAAGCAATAATCACTAGCCACTCTAGACATAAAGCTTCAAATACCGTGGTTGTGGCTGTACATATCTGAGATTTTCCCACTGTGCTTATTTTTTTATATGAAGACAGTAAGTTCAGTCAGGTAGGGATGTATTTTTGCCCATCCACTGTCTGATTATTGATCCAGCTTCATTGCCAGAAACTCATATTTTCTGAGAGGGAGGGGAAAAAAAATCTTTATGTGTAATCCATGATTCTTTTGTTAAATTGTCTCTGTGATAATTCAGTTGTAAATAATTCTAGTAAGTACAGTCTTCTCACAGTGGCAAAATATTTTTTTTCAATCAAAACTGCTGATGTTTAAACAAATCTGGTTTGGGTACCATGTATACAGTTGGAACTGTGGTCTGAGTGCTTGTGCACATGTCACAGGCTTTTAGTTCAATTATTTTGAAACACACTTGATTAGAATCCTTGAAGTGAAAATTTTACGTTGTCTCTCTGTTTTTTGTATCATTATTTTTTCAAAGCTTGCTCTTCCTACTCCAGTTACAGTCTTTGAAATAGTGTGTTTCTATAGCCAGCTGATAGAGTTTATGGTGATTTTGAAGTTGGGAGTACCTGCATTTATTTCTAGTATGTAGCTGACTGTTGCCAGCTGGTCCTTTTTTCTCATGTGCTGATGGGTATTACTTATTTTTAACACCACTATTTTCTAAATGATAACAGGAAGAAGAAAGAAATGGTGAGAGTAAACATCACTGGCTTCTTTGAGATTTTGTAATAGTAGAATATTAAAAGTTAAGGAAGGAAAGGTGAAGGGAAGGATTAAAAGAGGAAAAATAGAGCAAGTGAAAAAATTGAGTTGAAAGGACACCCATCCACCCTCTGCATTATAATATTAGTGCTTCACACACTCCAAAAAGATAAAACAGAAAATGAAACACTAGGTTTACAGTTCAACAAATGGAAATAAAAGTCATAAAGAAATTAGAAATTAAAATTATATTTTGGCTGTACATGTGTTTCCATTTTCAGTTGACTTCTGACATCTGACATATTTGCTTGTGCATTCGCAAATAAACCATCTGCCAAGACCTTTTTTAAAGCCAGTTAACTTGTATGGCATTCAAGCTTTTAAGCCATCTCTAGGGTTGCATTTTGGGGTGCATTTTTTGGGGGGGTGAGGAGGGCATAATAATTCTGTTTCCTGTAGTGAGCAGTGTTTCAGTCTTCATACAAAATTGCTGAGCTTCACTGACAGGAATGTTTCCAAAGGGATGTCGCCAAAAGAGGAGCTCTTCAATGTCCACTTCAATGTAAAATTGGAGAAGCCTTAGCAGAGTTCATAGAGACCTTCCAGGTGACTCTTTCAAACTGCTGTTTTGCATAAGTTAAAAGTACTCATGCAAAAAAATGCTACAGAAAATGTTTAAGAAAGCACACTAATTCTCAAATGAAACTTGGTAGAAATGTTCAGCAGCTGGTATACAATCTGAAAAAGGTTCTTTCCTTTATTAGAAACACATATTGTTGGTATTCCCATTACTGCCAGAAAAGGTTATGCTCATATGAAGCAAAGAGAAGGAAAGAAAGAAGATTAAAAGTTTTTCAGCTTTCCATTTCTATGAAATAAGAAGAAAAACAAAACTAATGTTCATTGTATAAAGGGAAATGCCTTTTTTTTTTTTTTTGATTCATCTAGTCCCAAAATAGATTTTTGAACTTGTGAAGGGGTTTATTGTGGTATTTTGGAAAACTGAACGGTTCATTGAAGACAATTAGCTGAATGCTGGCCTTGTATGTTCGGGAGGGCAGGACACAACAAACAAACCAAAACCCCAAACCTTAAAGGTTCGAGGCTTAGGTTCCATTTTAATTGTTTGTGTAGTTCTGCCATTGTCATCTTGACCAATCTGGCAGGTGAACACCAGTAGAGCTTCACTGACCTCAACTTTTTCATCTAAAAATTTGTTACCAAATCTAAAGTTTGGAATTGCAAAAAGAAAACATGCCAGTAAAACATATGCCTTTTAAATTCTAAATAAGCAGATATACATTTAATTTCATTTTCTAATTTCTTCTTCCCTTTCCAGGTTGGTTTTTTTTTTTTTTTTTTTTTTTGTGGTAGAAGTGATGAAAGTCAAAGTATAGTCAATGAAATTAATTACATGGCCTTAATAAGTTGTCTATACTGAACTAATTTTTGTGATACAAGTCCAGTTATGTCATTCTAAAAATCACAGTGAGTATTTCTATGGTGCTGCTTCCTATGATATACAGAGCAGCTAATTTTTTGAACTTGAGACTAAATGAACCAACTGCAGTACAGATAAAGCCCTGTCTCATATAGCCTCATTTTCCAGAGTTAATCAACCTCATTACCTTTGTCACATATTTTACGTGTGTCAGTTGATCACCAACCAGCACGAACATAAAGATTAGAATCAGTGCCATTATTCTTAGGGCTAAATTATATTTGCATAGGAAACTCCTTTATTGTCCCTCTGACACACAAAGACATCTGACCTTTCAGCATGGAGACTGTAAACACAAACCATAAACTGGGAGGACTCAGCGAGAGAGACAAGGAGGAGGATGGAGCCACGAGCCTGACTGGCTGTATTCCAGGAATGCTGTGACCACTAGTGGATATTTCGAAAGTTTAAGGAAGAGCATCCTTTCTTTAGGGTTGTCAGGTTCTTTCTGTGCCTCTAATGAGGTGGGATTACTTGCACTCCTGCCTAGTGTTATGCAGTCTCAGGACCCATAATTGAACCCCTCAAGGTTCAGTTTTATCTGAACATATTGTGAAGACAACTTATTTGAAATTGTACCCTTACCTTAATTTTGCTGCAGACCAGTTTTTTTAGTTGCAGCTACCTTCCACTCTGTTGTCAAATAATTTGTAGTTAGATTTGGGCCCAATCAGTTCAAATAGAGATGTCTTCCCTTAGTCACTTAGATCCAATTTAGCTACTTAGAAGAGTGACTCTTAGCATTAATCACTTAACTAATCAACGTCTTTTCAGGGTGGCTGAATATGGATGGCAGATGGAATCTTCCTTCCTGAAGGCAGATGAGTTAGAATATTTTGGCCAAGCTTATAAAATCCCAAAGTAACATTGTCTTCATTGGTAGCTAAGTTAAGAGAGACAGGAGATGAAGTTCTGTGACCTTTTGAAAACAGGCAATTACAGTTGCTGGGAAATTAGCATATATGAAATTTGTGTAGAGTTGCATAATTGAAGCTGTACGAATGGATTAACATTGATACTACCATTCCCCTGCACATACCTTTAGCACAGATTAAATTTATTATAGATCTTCTGAAATGTTTTCTCAAATCTGTGTGCTAATCTGAGTGTTTTTCATATTCTACCTTTAGTAGATAAAATTAAATATCATGGTAAATAAAGTAATAAAATATTTATTCTAAGCTGTTGATGACAGCATCAACAATGTATTAGAAGCCAACCCCAGGAAGTACTGATTTCTATCTCATCTGCTTAATGTGAATCTAAAATAAGCCATTAAAAGGTAAGGGATATGTTAATACAGTTAAGTCAGTGTAAAATTGGCATGAAAAGAAGATGAAGATGTAATATTGAACCACTGGTTCAGAGCAAAATACAATTCCGGTTAAATGCAAAAATTCTTATGGCTGATGAATAGCATCTGCTTCTGGGTGCAAGTTATTCCTCTGGTCCTGTTCACACCAACTTTTGAGACACCCTTGTATTTTGTGTATCTTGAATATTCATGTCAGGGAGCTGAAAATATCTGGGTGCTAGAAATTTAAAAGAGCAGTTCTTAGGAGTTATGCCAGGAGTTCTGCAAGGTTGTTTGAAGTTATCATGCTATTCCTAGTATGCCTAATCATATTTTTTTAGCCAACTATACATGGCAATTTAATATGACTAGGCTCTATTGTCCTCTGCATGACAGGGCATGGGAAAGGGTTAAATCTCTCAGGTTGTGCTGCATTTGATATAGTAAGTTGCAAAACTGCAAATATATGTATTCATATAAATATGTATAATATGTATAAATTCATATGATATGAATTAACAGAATTTTAAGGTAAGAAAGCACAAGCTCCTGCATATCCAGCTGCCTTATAATTCCTTTTCCATCCTGGCTATCTTGGAATGGCTTTAGATATATAGATATACATATATATAGTCACAGAAGTAAAACCTCTATTGCACTGACTTCCTGCAGATTCCTCTTGTATATCATATACGTGCTTCTGTTTGGCACTTCTATAACCTGATGCAAAATGTACTAGTTCCTGTAATTGGTTGATAGGTAGAGAAGCCACTGATTGATAGGTGGTCTGGCTTGACTGCTAGGAAGCACTTCATGTTCACGTTGCATAGCTCATATCTTTGTTTCCTGTATCACTGCATCATGATTATGATTCTAATTAGTTTTTTTTAATCACGATCAATACACCAAGGAGAAGCATCAGACAGCTAATATGATTTATTACAGATTCCAAGAGCATTTGTCTCAGATTTGGCATTTCTGCTGTCTCCAGAATGGCCGTGCCCGCTTGACAGCAGCCTGTCAGTGCTGTTGTGATTGCTCTATGCAGTGACTTTAACTGCCAGCTTTTCCTGCAGGCTCGCTGAGTGATCGATCAGCACTACAATTACAGCAATGTGGAATATTTTAACACTTGCCTATGGCCCTGTCAATTATGAAAGGGTGGGGTATCAATACATATTGCAATCTGGTGCTGTACCATTTAAGGCTCAAACAGAAGAAAAAAGTAAATGTTGGTGACCGTCTTTACGTATATCTTTCTCTCTTTTGAAGCTTTTTCCCTTATAACTGCTGTTTTACACATGGCTCTGGAGGAAGATCAAGAGCTGTCTTTGTAACATTAAGGATTCTTGAAGGTACCGTAAGTACTGAAGTAGTGGTAAAGAAATGCAGTAATGCTAAGGATTTTCATAAACTGTCTTTCAAATGTGGGAAGGCAAAGGTCAGGTGAGGTGATGGTTTATTAATATTAATGAATATAGGAGCAAGAGAGGATATTAAGGTTTTGTTCAAAACATACAATATTCTACAGCTGAGTTTCAAGGCATCTTCTTTTTCAGAACCTCTAATATAGGTGACTTGACCCTGGTTTTATTGATTAAACTTTTATTCTTCCCCAATGAATAATTTAAATTATGAGCTGTAGTCTGGCATGATTAGCAGGAACCTATGAAAGATTTTAAAGTAATAGACCGTATACTTCTCCTACTGTGTTGGATTCCTTCTGCATCATGCCACTCTGGATTGAAAACTTTATATGCAACTTGGTAACTTGTTTAGCAGTTCTCTTTCTTGAGAAACCTAATAAAACGCCAAAATCTCTACTTTTCTCTGGAGAGTTGTTATGGAGCTGGTTTTAGTTTCCTGCTTGCCATGTCAGTCTCCAGCCTTGCTGGAGTTTCTAATTTGTGCTCATAGTTTAGCTGACCTAACACAGGTCTATCAGTTGTGCTGCAGTAAAGCATTCCAATGACCTTTACATGTCCCTGAATGAGATGTGTGCCAGTCCTGTTGGATGGGGAGAAGGGCAAGGCCCCTGGTTCGCCGCAAAGACTATTGCGATAAGTCGTGTTATATCACAGGGAATTATTATATAGAAGGCATGGGTAAACTTATATTGTAACCTGCATAGCACAAAAGGCTAATGTTGGTGACCTAATATGCTGACTTAAATCTGACTCTTAAAAGCAGTTCTGAGATTCTATATTTGTCAAGAGTTAATTTGACATTGCACATAGCAGTCATTATACTCTCACTAAGGTTTCTTATCCTCAGATATTTTTTTTTGGTTCACACTGAACATTAACCAACATTAATTTTTGAGTCCTGAAAACAATTGTAGATCAATGTGGTGACTGCATGACTGTAATACATATAAGAGACAGAAAGATATGTGCAGGTGACACTGAAAAGCAATCTCAAATTGTAAATGATATTTAGAAATATGACTCGGAAATATATTAAAAAACCAAACAGAACAACAACAACAAAAAAAAAAATTCAAAAAGTTTCCTTTCCACAAATCCATAAACAGGCACTCAGATCACAGAGCAAGGAAAGTAAAGGACATGGTCTGCTGTCTCAGGCGTGCTTGGTTTCCCAGCCACGTGGAGGAGAAAGAGGAGGAAAAATAATTTCTTGGGACCGGAGTGCTGTTAAGTAGAGGAACCACTCCAATATTTTTTTCCTTCTCTTTATTTCAAATGATGATTGCATTTGGGTTGGTTATTTACATATATATTACAGTCTCTGCCCTATTACAAACTCTATATTTCTTAAATCCTTTGTGGAACACTTCCTTTAGAAAAACTTTTGAAATCTTTTATTGGACTGTTTTTCTAACCAAATAGAAGTATGTATTTAATAAGAGTATATATTTAATGAAAATATAGTACATTTTTCCTGCAAGCTGTTTAATGCATGGGCATATTTCAAGCATTAGAACTTGGCAGTTTCCAGATGGATTCAGTTTTAATTCAGTCTTAAACAACATCTTGTTAAATATTTTTAGGCATTTTTAGAACTTGCTGGTTTGGGGTAAAATCTGCTGCAGCAGAAAACCATTTCAAAGAACAGTTATTAGGGTAATCCCAGTCTTAAAATTCTAGAATTGATCTGAAGATGGTATATTGAAGACAATATGCTTCAATAAATGTTTCCTGGGAAGAGAAATATTTTAAAAAGAAATTGTATCACACAAAGGTTAAGACAGGACAATCCTACCTCTACCCACCTAACATTTAGGAGGCTAAAAAAGCAAAAGGAATGGCATGTTCATGTCTGCTAACCTTCATAACACCTATAGTATTGCAGTATTCCATTTGCAAGGTTATCACTTTAGAACAGATTTCAGAGAATAACAAGCATCCATATTTTCATCAAATTGTTGGTCTAATATGAAATCAATTGTGATCTCGGAGGCTTTTATTTTTATTCATTGGAGGATTAGATACACAAGCCAGGTATTCTAGAGTGTGTATATGGGAAAGAGGATTATGCCTTAAGTGGGTCACAGCTGATACGAGGCATTAAAAGTACTGATGAGATCCAAAGATGTGGCTCTCTGGAAGCAGTCTGCTGACCACACTGTTTCTAGTGATGCTTCTCAAAGAATGTTTAGCAGTGCCTATCAGCTCAGCTTTTTTACAAGTTACTGTTTGCAGTGTAAGGCCTTATCTTCAATCTTTTCTGATGGCTCAGGTTTAGTGGTTTAAAACTTTCTGACAACCATTATCCTTCAGCAATTTTTATAGGGAAAGAAAGTCTCTGTCCTAAATTTCAGAGCAGGCCTATCCCATATCTCAGCTGTGATGGATAAGGTTTACACATCTATGAACTTATGATAATACACATTTTAATTTATCTTCTTAAACCTTGGCAGACCTATAGGACAATTTATTAATCATCTAGGGAAATAGCAGAAGACCTCCTTTCATTTGGAGCCTGGGGCTGTAAATTGTTCACTTTTCCCCAATGATCTGCAGTCACTGTGAAAATACTTAAACAATGGAAAATAAAATACCACGCAGAGATAAAAATGTGGTTTATTGATTGAATTTGAACTTGTGATATTGGTTGTTATGTATATAGAGATTTTTTTTTTTTTATCTTTAGTGCTGTAATGGACTATAAGTGCATTTGTACACTGAAGCTGTAAAAAAGAAATTGATCTCTTTTTACAATGATTTGGTGGTATTTTAATACATCTACATCTATTCCAGCTGTAGTAAAGACAAAGAAACAAATTCCATGCTGCTTTTAGCTAGCGCATTTTTAGTACCTGAAGCGGAAGAGCCAAATGCAGTTCAAATGCAAGACATTGGATGATTTTTACTAGGACCAACATGGAATTGGATCTAAAATTATAACTTTAGCTGTAATGAACTTTATCTTTTCCTATATATTTGGGAATTTGGATGCAAACCAAAAACATGCCTGGATTATAGAAACGAAAGTCAAATTAAGGCAGTTAAATTTGAAGGATGAAGGTTAATAACTAAAATGTGCTTATTTTTAAGGGGGAAATTGTTTCTGGTGCAATGTTTAGATAAGTTTAGGGTAAAGCCACCACTTTCTAATTAAAATACTTGAAGTTAAAAACTTCAGCATTGCCTGTAGGTTCCTTACTGTGCCTGGGGACTTTTTCCACTTTCACTTGAACATGTGAGTTTCTGCTAGTGTCATCTGAGATTAATAAACATTCTCATTAATTGGCATTAATTTCTCTGTCTTGTTTCTTCATGTTAGTAACTTCCTGCAAGCAACAAGTAGAGTTTTCATGGGTTTCAGGATAAAAATGACAGGTTTATGTTGTCCTGCATCTGAAATGTAATGCTATAGTGAATAATTATTGTTTTGGTTTCATGATTTAGGCACGAAATAAAATAAAGTTGTTCAGTTTCTGGAGTAGGGAAGAGTTTTCTCTCATATTTTGAAGTGAAATTACCAAACCTTTGATCTAAAATTGATTTGTAGAATTATATGTTTTAAAAGTAAGTGTTTTAAAAATGTTCTCTTTTTCAGATGAAACTTATTAGTGAATTTGAATATTTGCTGAATTAGGTAAATAATTTTAATATGTTCATGATTCTGGAGTTTTTTTGCAAACAAACCATTCATTTGAACAATTGTGATTATAGTATCAGATAATTTTGGTAGCCATGTTCGTTTCTGCCTGCAGGCTCATGCAAGATGTCCTCATCATAGTGACATCAACATTTTCCTCTGGACCCATCTTACGCATTAAAAATGTTCCTCACATCCCAGCATTGGCTTTGAAAATTCCATAAACCTAGAGCATTTCCCACATATATTTAGGCACTTGTGCAACCTTTTGGTATAAAAACTAGATTTTTAGATTTTATGTCAACTTCCTTATATTGTGTGAGCTCAACTGTGTCAAAACTATGAATCTGTTAAACTGAAATGTTTTAGTGATCACCAGTAATAATAGATCTGAAGCATTTTTAAGGACACTGCATATGACTTCTGTTCCCAGCCTCTTTGCACCAAATGGAATCATGTGGTGAAAGTGTTTCCTGACTGCTACAGCCAGAAGAATGTTTGTAGCCTAATCAGGTGGCAGAGGACATTGGTGAGATGTGATTATAAATACATTGATATCACTTACACAAACATGTTTTTATCATGTTCAGGAGGAATGCAGTGGCTTATGGATTTTCTGATAGATGGGACTCTTCTCTGCCAGAAGGTGTTGACTAGACAGAATTAAAATATTTCAGGGAAAACGGTAGATTGGTAGAAAATGGCATTTCACCCAAGTTTTACTTTAAAAAAAAAAATCAGAGTTCCAAATTAGTTCTGATCACTATGATGATTCATACTAAGACCATGTCTCTTGGTAGCCCCAGAATAAGGTAATATTCACAACTCTTTCTTGGTAATTGCAGAAATCTTTCTAACTATGTGAAGCTTTCAGCTTTAGTCCAAAAATTCTCTTTGCCCTTGAGTATTTTACTTTTGTTGCTGGTGATTCTTTTCATATAGTGAATGGAGGGAAAAACAAAATCCAAGATGTGGGAGTTTTTTCCTGTTCATTAATAAACGATCTCTTTTGCCCAAATTAATTGCTTTATATCTTTGAAAATCCCTGAGAATTAATGTATTATTTTCTTCCTGCTTCTATCTCTGAATTTTTTATGTTTGTATCTGACAGAAAGAATCCACCTTGCCCAAACTCAGAACTGAAAATTATGAACTGCTACAGTGAAGTCTTACAGTTAAGCTCTACCTTTAGGAGCAAGAAACAATTATACTATCTGTTGACTATTACAGGAAAGAAACAGCAATACGTCAACCATTTTTAGTCTACAGATATTACTGGTTGAAATGACA